GCTCAGCTGGGCCTGTGGAGGTTTATGCGGTGTCGCCTCTTCCTGGGCCGGGCTGTGCGCGGGAGGCTCTGGGTGAGTGCGGGGGCGCCAGGAGCTGCTCAGGCCCGTAGGACCCCGCGCGCGGATGGGTCTGGCCGTGGTGAGACTCTGAGCGCGCGGCCCGTCCAGCCCCGTCACTGGACCCGGACCTGCCAAGTGCTGCTGAGGGGGTTCTGCGCCCCAACATGCTGCCCGCAATAGTTTAAAATTCTGCCACTTTTATTTGTCAGATCAATGTGGCGGCTCCAGCATGGCCTTGGGGAGCACAGGCCACTGGCTGCACAGAGGTGGGAGCTCACGGTGCCGCTCCCCCCTCCCCCCGCGACAGGTTTTCCCCCTCAGCTGCACCCAACCCTGACACAGTTCAAGGACCGGCCCTGACCCAGAATCACCCCAGGTCCCTACCCCTCCCCCCCCCATGACCATGTGAGCAGGCGGGATCCAAGTGTGGAGGGGCTTAGTGGAGTGGGATCCAGGTGTGGATTGAGAGGGCTCTGTGTGGGGCAATCTGGGTGTGGGCAGCTCAATGAAGGATCCAGGTGCACAGGGGGTTCTGGGTGCAATGGTAATGGGACTCTGCAGGGGGTCCAGGTGAAGGGGGTGGGGGCTCAGCAGGGAGAGCTGGGTGTGGGGGAGATAGAGCTTGAAAGGGGGTGTCTGGGTTTTTGGGGAACTCAGTGGGGGATCCAAATGTGGGGGGGGGGAACCAGGTGCAGCTGGGGCTTGGTAGGGTGGGAATCCAGGGGTGAGTGGCTCGTTGGGGTGGTCCAGGTGTAGGGGAGGGAGCTCATCTGGGAGGTTATGGGGGTGGGGTGAGGGTCTGGGTATGAGGGGGTCTGGATGTACAGGGGTTGGGCGGATGGGGGAGAAGCTCCCTATGTAGGGATCCCTCCCCCTGCAGCTGAGGAGCGATGGGCACAGGAAGCGGGGGGAGAGTTTGCAGAGATTCCTGCAACTGGGGGAGAAATCTGGGGGAGTGGGTCTGACCCAGCCCCGGATGCCGTGCTGAAGAAGAGGAAGTCTCGGCCTAGCTGGGACTAGCAGCTGAGCCTAGCCAGAGTAGGAGCCACCAGCCAGGTCTTCCCCAGTCCCGCCCTCTGCCCTACAGTGATTTACCTCTCTGTGGATGCCCTGGGCACCCGAAACATACTGTTTTGAAGGGTTACGTGACTGATCTTGTGGCTTCCCTTTGCTTTCCTGTCAGAAAGTCATTTTTCTGCGAGGAAGCAAAGAAATCTGCAGGGGACATAAATTTTGTGCATGTGCAGTGGCACAGAATTCCCCCAGGAGTAACCAAGGGACGTAGGCGGCGCAGTGCAGCATGTGGGCCAGTGAATGGGCCCAATGCTCCTGCCGCCCAGCACCACCCCAGCCCCGACTGCAGGAGGACTCACCACAGAACAGCTTCTTTGGGGGCACTCAGGGCAGCCCCATGTCAGACTGTCCCCAGCTCCTTGGTTACAGTGTAATAGGTATATCTCCATATATTATTATTATCTCATAGAGTTGGAAGGGCCCTTGAAAGGTCATCAAGTCCAGTCCCCTGTTTTCACTAGCAGGACCAAGTATTGTCCCTGACGGGTTTTTGTTTTGTTTTGTTTTGCCCTGGATCCCTAAATGGCCTTCTCAAGGATTGAGCTCATAACCCTGGGTTTAGCCGGCCACTGCTCAAACCACTGAGCTATCCCTCCCCACTCTGAGAGGGGGCTACCCCTATTCAGACCCTTTCTCTGCCCCACGTCTCCCAGCTGAGCATTCTAACTCCGTGTCCTCTCAGCCTTTCCAGGCTATTGTACCCCTTTCAGGAGTATGATTTGTCTTTCACCTCACTTAAAAAAACTACTTGCTTACAAAATCAGTCATAAAAATACAAAAGTGTCACAGTACACTATTACTGAGGAATTGCTTTCTTTCTGATTTTTTATCATATAATTATAAAATAAATTGATTAGAATAAAATATTTTACTTACATTTCAGTTTATAGTAAATAGAGCAATATAAACAAGTTATTGTATGAAATTTTAGTTTGTACTGACTTCGCTAGTGCTTTTTATGTAGCCTGTTGTAAAACTAGGCAAATATCTAGATGAGTTGATGTACCCCCGGAAGACCTCTGTGTACTCCCAGGGGTTACACACCCCTTGTTGAGAATCACTGCTCTAACTCCTGGGCTTGAGCTAAAAGTTCAGGTGGTGGGGGGGACGGGGAGGGTACCAACTCCTCCTCCTTTGGTCGATTTTGAATGGGACCTGATCTGGTTGGCAGCCTCTGAGTACATGTACAAGATCAGGCCCTGCATGTGAAATAGGCCAGCAAACGCCAGAAGGCAAATATTCTCCAGGTTCATGAATTACTCTGGAATTTAGCAACAGAGGGTCCTGTGGCACCTTTAAGACTAACAGATGTATTGGAGCATAAGCTTTCGTGGGTGAATGCCCACTTTGTCAGACGCTTATGCTCCAATACATCTGTTAGTCTTAAAGGTGCCACAGGACCCTCTGTTGCTTTTTACAGATCCAGACTAACACGGCTACCCCTCTGATTCTGGAGTTTAAGTGAGCGATGGATGCCCAGATCGGTGCCACAAGTGGAGAGGCTGAAATATAGATGCGGAGGGGAACTTTTACCCTGAAAACTTACTTACTAAGTGAGTTTAGGCTCCTTTGTGATCCCCCAAACTCCTGCCAAACCCTGTAGGAGACTAACTTGAGACTTAGGCACCTAAATCTGGGGTTTGGAAGTATTTTTGTGCATCCAGCTAACACTTGGACTTCGCTACAGCCCTTTCCATGGCGAAGTAGCCCACCCCTGGCAAGGGCAGAGCTCCCATCCCACTCCTCTCTGTGGGCTAGCACTGTGGTAGACTCGCAGTGTCGAGGGCGGTCTGGGTTTGCAGTGATGGGGCCAAATCAGTACCTAGATAGGCAACAAGCATATCTTAACACAATTAACAAATGCTTATACTCGGGGGGCGGGGAGGAAATGTGAGGAGAGGTCCTAAATCCATCAGTTCTACCCAACTCTGTTATCATTGCACAGTGCTAGAACGAGAGCCCTTGAACTCCATTGTACTAAAGTCTTGCATATATGAGTTGCACCATAACAAACTTTGATTTGGAAAACCAAAATTAGAGTTGATTGCAGCAGGGTTTTTTGCTCCTTTCATGTCTGTAAAGAAGAATTTTAGAATCAGACCCTGCCTCATATCATGGGACAAGGATCTGAAGGACTGGATTGTTGGTCTGAAGCTCTAAAAAAGGTGGTACCATCTCCATTATCACCAGCAAAACCTGTTCTATACTTCTGCCTTATCAGAGAGTTCTGATTTCACCTATAAGCACTTTAAATAAAGATGAAATGTTCATAATTAAAAATTCTAATCTAGCAAATTAACTGGGTACTAAAGCAATCATTTTATTTTTAGGTCTAAAATTACTTTAATAAAGAAGCTGCAGTGTCCTATTTTCTAGGCAAGTGGCTACGTCTGCTAAACTGATGGTAAGTAAATCTCAAAGTTCTGGGGCATCTTTCAGTTTTTTCTTGATATGCTACCATGCTAAAGTTCTTCCTTGTAAAGATTTTTCGGCATCACGATTAATTAACATAACAAAAGATTGCTGGTATTTAAAAGTTGGCTTGTGCCAACACTTTTAGCCATGTTCACTTTCCATTTTAAGTAGGAAATATAGAATACTTTTTAAATATTGTTGTGTTATAAGTATGGCGTTTTATAGGTCCTGAATGGCAGAAAAAATATTCTACAACCAATAGAACTTACCTTTAAAAAAAAAATCTAATGTTTTAGAACAACCCTTCAACATGAAGAATATTTGCTTTCTGATGTAATAAAAAATATGAACATATATAGTATTTGGTAATTGAGTTGTGGTGTGAACATCTGCTTAAACACATTTCAAAGCTCCTGAAACTCTGAAGATTTATTTTCCTTTTTTAACATGATTTTTTTTTTGAAGTACTTGTTTTGGCATCTTTACAAGAGAGGACAACAACTCATCATATTTGTTTAACACGCAGCAGTGGAGGTGGGTAACTGCACAACTTCTTTTATCAGATATGGACACTGGCAGTCCAGTTTTCAGTGGACATATTGACAAATTTTAGATTGTGTGGGCTTTGGGACAGGGATGATCTTTATTAGGTGCTGTACAAACACAAAAACAGTAGGGTCCAGGACTAGGGCTCCTAGGTGCTATAGTAATACAAATAATATAGTTGTGATCCATGTTGACAATCTCCACAGAAATACATAGGTCTGAAATAGCATGGAGATGAACTTCTCTTTCCCCTTGATAATTCTGTACAATACAGTGGCCAAATTGGGTTAGTGCCTGTCTATTTGACTCCCACTGAGACCACATCTTTCACAAGCAGTAAATTAACTGTCTTCAGCTGTATAAGCAATTCCTTCCACACTATTCTGCTTTAAATTGTATTTCCTGTTGTACCAGGAAACTCTCTGGACTGATTCATGGAGCACTGTAGATACAGCAGGTTGGACCTCATTGCTCCACAACCCCGCTTTTGTGTGGCTGATTAAAAAAGTGGCATTGCAATGGAGAGCCAAATGCAGCCCTTTGTTTTAAATAATTTTACCAATAGACAATTTTTTTTCTTTGCAGCAGTTATTCCTGCAATACACATCTTACTTTCAACACTCTTAAAGGAAGAATTTTTTTTTTTGAAGGGAGGGTGGGGGAATAGTTGAAACTTTTGGTCTTATGAGAAGAAAGCAACTCAAAACTAACCAATAACCCAATCTGTTTTCCATCTAAAGGCAACTTTTATAGCATCTGGATTCATGCTTTTACTTTTATTTATATGACTATAGTATGGCAAGGTTCCTGGGGTGCAACCTGAACTATGGGACTGCTGAGCCCTCAAACTGGGCCCCCCTCACACTGTGATGTTGGCAAGCTAAAACCTGTGGCAGGCACTGCACTTACACAAACATTCACAGGCACGGACACAACCAACCAAGTTACTTGAATGCTCCCACTCACTCATGAAACAACAGAGGCTCCAGCCAGTTCCCCCCTAGCTTCCCAGCCTTGTACCCCAGAACTGTACCATCTTGCCCTGGTTAGAAGCCTGACCAGTGTAAGTTCATTACCAAGTCCACCCCTCCTTCGATGTGGAGAGGATATACACTAGCCATTATAAACTGAGCTGAGATTTCCCAAGCACTTCAACCAAAACACACTGTTTTAAATAAAATATAAAACAGATTTATTAACTACAGAAAGATAGATTTTAAGTGATAAGTAGTAAGTGTAGAGATCAAAGTTGGTTTCCTAAGGAATAAAATAAATTCACAGTCTAAGTTCTATAAAGTAAACAGGGTTGGAATCAAGCAGTGCCTCATCCTGAGAGATGGTACAAACAAAGTCTGAGAACTTCAATACACAGGCTGGAACTCTCCTCCAGCCCGGGACAAACCTCCTGCGTTCAAAGTCTTTGTCCTCCAGATGTGTTTCCAGAAGTTGAGTTGTGCGGGGAGTGAGGCCAAGTCATGATGTCACTTCCCCTTCTTTTATATTTTTTTCCAGCTTGCTGGAAAGTTCTATGCTTGTGACGTGGGGGTCCACTGCCATTGGTCAAGCATTCTCCATGGTCTACAATGCTCTCTCAGAAGTCTTCTGGGATGGTCACTGGGAGCATAGATTCTCTTTATATTAGCATGTTTGGTTACTCCATTGCTTTATCCTGAAAGACTGGTTGTGGGTGTTCCTAACCTCACAACATATTTCAGGAACACACACAGCAAAACTTCATAACCTCACATACAATGATAGCACAAACAATCCAACAGGATATTAATGTTCAACAGATCAAGACTTTTAAAGTGATGCCTCACAAGGCATTCTTTGTACAAAACATATCATAATTATATGATGGTGAATATGCAGGTTCCAGGGTGCTGCTTTGAGGTACAGAGTGCAAAATATAGTGTCCAGAGATCACCAGTAGGACTGGGGCTTCATTATATTAGTTCTCTTCCCCAAAGCACTTACAACACAAGACATTTTCAAGTTTTTAAAATTTACCAAAGTGCCAGTTATCCCCACCTGCTCACCACCCTAGGCATCATTAAATGGTTGGGGTTTTTATATGTGTTACACCAGCAATGGGACTCATAGAACAGGTACTGGCCTTATGGATTAGTTATTGTACTTGTTTCCATGCTTGAGGAATGAAATTGGCTTTCTGAGGTGCTATGCCCTTTGTCTACTGACTGGAAGTAATTTTATTATTAAATAATAGATTGAGTAAGGTTAATAAACTTTAAGACCAGAAGAGTTCATTGTGATATCTAGTCTGACCACCAGTATGCATAACACAGGTAATAGAATGCTCAGTGGTTATGCACTGAGTCCAACAGCTTGTGTTGAACTAGTCTATACCTTAAAGACTCCTAAGTAATAGAGAATGTACCACTTCCCTGGTAATTTGTTTGTGGTTAATTACCCTTACAGTTAAAAATCCATCTCTTTAGTTCCAGTTTGATGCAGAATCTAAAATAGAAATACTGAATCAAGTATTAGATGTGGTTTTGATAGGTGCACATGTCCATGTTACCTACTGCCATCAGTGCCCTCCCCTAATCATTGGTACTGCTGACATGACTTTTTTCCCCCTATTAATCTAAAGGTGTCTCCATGAATAATTTAAATGATCCTCCAAACTGGAATATCCAGCCTAATCCAAGGGATAATGGTGGTGATGGCAACAAATGGAATTATGCTTTGTTGGTTCCAATGCTGGGATTGGCTGCATTTCGTAAGTAATAATTTTAATAATCAGATTTTTCTGATCAGGCCCAGCATTCTAGTGGAAATACAATGTCTTGCCATGTATGGGGGGGGGGTGTCAGAACTGGCTGCTGAGTTCTCTGGAACCAAAAGGTTCATGCAGCATTACACTGCTCCAGCAACCCCTCTTCTGTTCAGCTGATTGAAGTGGCATTTCCACAATCCAGTGGAAAGCCAAATGCAGCCATCCTTTCTAGCTGGAGGAGGGTTATCTCAGAGGCTTTGAAGGAAGAGGAGAGAATTTGGTGAATAACTCTACTTGGGGGGGAAAATAAAATCAGGTTCTACAAATATAAATATTCCATAGCCCATAATGTACTCCAGACTTGAGAGCAGGGAAGGGATGTGTGCTTAAGAGGACTGGTATGTGCAGGTAAAGGAAGGCTAATACATAAAAACACACATTTGTCTACTTGGGGATATGATAGAGGTCTATAAAATCATGAATGGTGTGGAAAAAGTGAATAAGGAAGTGTTATTTACCTGTTCGCATAACACAAGAAATAGGGTTCACCCAATGAAATTAATAGGAGGCAGGTTTAAAACAAACATAAGGAAGTTCTTCTTCAAGCAACTCACACTCCACCTGTGGAACTTGCTGCCAGGGGATGCTGTGAAGGCAAAAAGTATAGCTGGGTTAAAAAAATAATTAGATCCATCAATAACTATTAGCCAGGATAGTCAGGGACACAATCCCACAAACCTAAACCTCTGACTGCCAGAAGATGGGACTGGAAGACCGGGGATGGATCACTCGATAAATTGCTCTGTTCTGTTCATTCCCTCTGAAGCATCTGGCACCAGCCATTGTCAGAAGACTGGGCAAGATGGACCATTGGTCTGACCCTGTATGGCCATTCTTATGTTTTAGAAATGTAGATTCATAGATTTTTAAGGCCAGAAGAGAACATTATGATAATCAAGTCTGATCTCCTGTATAATATAGACCATACAACTTCTCAGTTTTGTGGAACATCTGAACTGAAGTAAATTTCACCCTTTGTGTCTTTGGGGAGAAAAAAAAAAGTTACTACTAACAGTAGCAACACAACTTCTTTGTGAAGTACTTCAATAATTTTGATTATCAATACTATACATATTTTGTTTACATGTGAAATTTGTTTTGTGTATGACAGGTTGGATCTGGTCCAGAGAGTCTCAGAAAGAGATAGAAAAAGAAAAAAAGAATATTACAGAAGACTAACATCTGTACAAAGAGATCTTGAATCAAAATATCGTGACATAATCACAGAAAATCGTCGCACAGTCGCTCACTTGGAGTTGGACCTTGAAAAGGAACACAACAGAACCCTGAGTTATCGTGAAGCCCTAATCTCCCAGAGTCGCAAATTAGTAGAAGAAAGAAGAGTTCTAGAACAGGAACGTGACAAGTTAGAGCAAGAAAAACAGGTTCTGCGGCACTCAGGGGCAGCAGGTGCCTTGTACCAAAGTTGTCTTGCAAAGGAAGCACAATGGCAAAAGAGAGCTAATATTGTAATAAAAGAATTTGAAGAAGCACTTTTAGAAAGACAAGATATCTACTGCAGTTTTGTGCTGCCCAGAAACCAGCGACTAGAAATAGAGAAAAATTTGCTAGTTAGAGCAGCAACTGATCCTGTTGCTATGGATATAGAAATGGAAAATGGTTTAAAAGATATTTTTAAATATGATACATATTGTGGTAATGTGCTGAACACAAACAAACGTCAAAATGGAAGACTAATGTGGCTTTATCTCAGATATTGGGAACTAACTGTTGAATTAAAAAAGTTCAAGAGAGTAGAGAAGGCCCTGTTGGAAAAATGATGTGTGGGGAAAGTAGTGGCATTTCATGCACTACGGCACATGTAGTATATAATGACTCACTGGTATTATAAAGCTGCATTTCCTGTAGTACATTCATCTATTTTTCCCCCTCCTCATTGCAACCACATTTGCACTACTCCCATCCTTGAGAGTGTCTCCACAGTTGGTGCCTTTCCATTGATGGGCCAACCACAAATGCTCACTAAGCAGTGCAGTTTACCCTGAGACTATGTCAACTGAAAGACACACTTTGTGTTCACAGCCAGGCTAGTAGAGAATGCTCCCAACTCCTGATTTCCTGCATGGCAGTGCAACGGCATCTTTTTGTGCAACAAAACTCTCAGGAAAGTACTCGGAAGTGACGGTAATAGTGAGATTTCTTGTTATATTATTTAGGTGTGAGATGCTTTCTCTGTACCAATGAAAAAAGTGTGCAATCATGTTTTCAAATTAGATTTGCATTGTTTTCTATGCTTGATGTGCAAATGTCACTTTACACTACATTATACATAAAAATATTTGCTTGAAATACAAAGACAGAATGCTATTTAAAATAATACAGAAGGAAAATAAAAACAAAGACTTTGATGCTTACTGACAATGATAATGAGGGCATGATTGGTCTTAAATCAGGATTACATATGAGTTATAATCTAGAAGTTGCCACTTAAAGGGAATTCATACAATGGGAAAGTAAAACATTTAATCACTTATTTTTCCTTTCAGGTCTAGGTTACCAGTTTGGATTTTGCCCACATTGGTATTGCTGAAGGCCCTATTGCATTGACTGATTGATCTCTAATGGGTTGATTATTTTAAGCCCATCTCTATTAGACAGATATCCATATCATAAAAACCATTGTCACATGCAGCAGAGATTTCAAGGATTGATTGGATGTAGAGACTAAGCAACTCTCTTATCCTTATAAGTAGTCCCCCCAGAGCAAGTGTGGGATTATATTACCTTGGCTCATGTACAGTGAGGAGTTGGGCAGGGAGCAAAACCATCTCCTGGATTGATTTTGGGGAAGTAACTGAGCAAAAGAAATTATCATGGAATTTTCTTCCTCGACTTCCCTCATCTGGGTATTTCAGTCATGGGGTAATCAGCCCAGGATTCTGACCTCACTGTAGAATTAAACAGAAGAAATTACTTATTCACAGACCAATAAAAATAACAGCAAAGGACTGCAGAAAATAAAATATAAAGGCTTTCGTTTTTCAGTCTGTCCTGTTTAAAGTGCCTCTTGAAATGTTTGTTCTCCTGCAAAAGGAGAAAACATTAATCACTTACATAAAAAGCAAAAGGAAAATGGATATACAGTAACTGAGAAGTAAAGTAACTGTGTTTAAATTGATTTTGTAGATGTTTATATCATTGTCAATTTCTATTAAATATTTACATTGCAGCAAGATGAGCAGTAACTGATTATTTCAGAATTAATTTTATTGATCTCTAGCACTAATACATTATAGCATAATGTCTAACTTTAGGTAGAAAATGAAATATTCTAAAGTGACAATCTTGGGCTAAATTTGACTCAAAATAAAGGTTGTATAACAACTGTCATTTACAGAAATGAAGACCAACAGAAGCATATCTATGGATATTTTCCAAATGCCAATGGTTCTGTCGATCTGTGTTCTTATAACTGCACCACTATAATAGCTGGCTGCCTCCCAAGGAATAGAGAAAATACAAAAGACTAATGCACTATACCAGGGTTTCCTTTGTACTTCCCCTGAGGTACTCAGGCAGTGGGTTTTTCATTTGTGTTTTAACTTGATTTTCTCCTATGGATTAACAGCATTGTGCTACTTCATAAGAACCTGAAAGTTAAACTACTAAAATCCAGACTGGAAGTGATTTGGGCCTCAGTCCTACATCAGGACCCACTATCCCAGACTCTTGCATCCACACAGAGTACCACTGGCACAGGCGGAGGGATCCATTCTAGTAGATCTCCATGTAGGACAGGGCCCAGGTCTTTTATGTCAAATCTGAGATAAATACAAAGATAAAAAATGAGCACCCATTTCTGTTTTGATAGACTGCCATTTGTTTGGTTTGAGTTAAAACACAAGCCACACCCTGCGGAGTTTAAAATTAAGTTAAAGAGTGAAAAGTAATTTAAAAAAATTCTGTTTTAATAATAGACGTTATTTGTAACTTAAGTAAGGATATCAGTTTTCAATATTTTTATCCTGTCAATGACCCTCTTATTAATTGTAGGTACTGCTCCTCTTAAGGTTAAAAGTAATTCTATTTTGATAAAAATGAGAAATATATACCCAATACACACACTAAAGCTTTGTAAATTTGTATTACCTCTTTGAAAAAGGCCAAAATGTTTATCATCTTGGTTTATATTTTTCTATAGTTTTATCACTGATACCAACTCAAAAACATTTATGAAGAGGACAGAGCTGAGAGGGCAAAACATTTTTCAGTTTATATTAGTATTTAAATTGTGTCAGTGTTTGGTTTATTCCTAATACAATGTTGTGAGGTAATCAGTGTATCAAAATGCCAGTTAGTAAAGTAGAGCTATTTTTGTAAATATAAGATTCTTCAAAGTTACATTTGTTTAACATTAGGTTAGTTAATGAAGGCAGGACAGTGGCTCAGAGGGGAAGTCCAAAAGCACATAATAGATTTAGGAGCACAAGTCCCAATGACTTTTAATGGGACTTGTGCTCCTAAATGTCTTAGGCACTTTTGTAACTCACTCACTCTGTCTCTCTCTCTCTCTCGCAATAGATAAGGTTGTGTTAGAAGTTCCACTGTAAGCTTTATTTTGTCCCTTGCACTTCAAATTTTGATCTGGGGAAGTAATTGGCAATTTGATCCCTGCCAATAGATGACATCAGCTGGCATGAAAAAGAAACACTTCAACCAGTCAGTTAGTGTATTTGTTACATAAGGCCACTTGCCTTCCACCATGCTTCCTCAAACAGCCCATTCCCCTCCTCCACACACCCTGGCTCCCTTCATGCAATCTCCAATACTCCTGACTCGTTCCTATGGATCCCCACATCACCCCAACCCATCCCCAGTGTTCAGAGGGTCCTTGGGGGCCCCCCATTCCCTCTGTGAGCCTAGTTAATGTCAGACTCAGTGAGCCAAAATAGTCTAATTGGGAACTGACAAGCCTACTAAACCTCTTTGGGGTGGCGGAGAGGGCTGCCAAATACTCTCTCTTCCTTGGCTCTCACCGTGTCCCATCCCACACAAAGTGCCCACTGCCTCTCAGCTCAGTCACACTCCTCACACTATACCAATTCCTCTGTCTTGCCCTCTTTTGTATCTTGCCCTGTCCCCTCTCTGCCTGCTCCACAATGCCTCCTAACACCTTTCCTCTCTCATGCAACCTAACTAGACTGACCAGATCCTCTGAGCCTTCACTCCTAGGCTTCCAGCTGTCTGTAGCTCCAGCACCACTCCATCACTTCCTCAATATTCTGACAATTACATAATAGTAGCTAAACAAAGAGAAACTGTGAGAATAATCTAATATGTGTATATTGCATACATCATAGAGATGCTGGTTGCAGCTTCATTGTTAAAGATGCATTGAGAGTTCCTTTGTAAGTCATGTTTTGACACAGCCTACTCTCATCCCTAAAATGTTATAGGAAGGAGCTATTACTGTGAAATATTGGAAATTAATCTAAGGGAGGAGCAGAATTTTTCTATTAAGTTTGGTATCAAATGTTAATGTAACCCTAACTTATGATTTTTTGGGGGAGGTGTTATTTGTTTCATTTTAATGAATGTATTAATTGGTTCTTGTATTGCACTCAGCAACCTTATCTGAAACTTAATAAAGTTTTATGTTTTGGGATATTTAGAGGATTTAGAGGTGAAGTTACTATCAACATTAGCCTAATCCTTCTGTATCCCTATAATAAATAGTTTCTGGACCAGTATAAGTAGATTGAAATAAAGTACCGATGGGTGCGTGGTGGGCTAATATTTTACAATATGATACAGAACACGCCGCTGATTTCTAGAGGAAGTGCGCCCATGTAACTTGGAGCTGAATTTGGCCCAAAGAGTTCAGAAACCAGAAAGCATCATGTGCTGAAAGACTATGTCACTGAATGTGCAGGCAGTACAATGAGCCTGAGGTGTACGGAGAGCCAGAGTAAACACCTTGTCATACATGGTTGCTTGGTTAAAATGTTAATCGGTATTTGTGATAGGTTAGTTATCTGTAAGACAATTAGCCACATTGTCAGGTAGTTCAAGCTCAAAAGTGTCTATTTCTTAAATATTAATGGAAATGTATTAAATAATGTTGGGGGGTGTGTGCTTTCTTTTCAGAGTTAAATGGAAAGTATATTGTTTGGGTTTAAATTCCTTCCTCAATCCTCTTTGT